ATACGAAGTTATTACGTCGAGGAGGGGGGCCCTGCCGGCCGCCTGAGTGTTCCAGCTGGGGCGGCGATGGTGGCCCAAGGCCCGGCGGCTGGGGCAGGGCTGGTGTCGCATTGCAGAGGGGTACATACCCTGCTGAGGATGGTGCGGCCAGGTCCCCCCTCCTACCGGGCCCAGACCCCGTCGCCCGGCACCCAGGCGGGCGGGGGCGCTGCAGCCGCTGGCAGAGGCTCACGTCCCACCCACCCCTCGTGGCCGGCACAGGATGAGCGGGAAGCTGCCCAACGGCTTCAGGGAGCACTCCTTCCTCAGCAAGCCCGAGGCGGCGGAGCTCAACGCCTCACGCCTCCTCGTCACGATCTGCCAGGTGGGCGCCCTCCAGGCCCTCCATTGTCGGGTTTCTGGGGGCGCAAGGGCGCCGACGGCAGCGCCGTGCAGCTCAAGGCTCTTCTCACTGCGGCCGACCGGTCTCCCGACCCCGGTCGGAGATTGCCATGCACGGGCGCAGGCCGGGCGCCTGGTCTGCATGCATGCACGCCATGCTCATCGCGAGTCCCCACCCCCTCCCACGCAGGATGCGGAGGAGGGCTGCGCGGCAGGCGACGCGGCGGCAGAGGTCCAAGACGGAGGGGTCCGACTGGTCCGACTGCGGAGCCTGGAGCAGCTACGAGTCGCGCTGTCTGGTGCCCTTGAGAAGCACAAGGTGTGGTGTGGGGGCCTTGGCGGTGCTGGCGGTGCTCGAGGCTCATGCTGTGCCCCTCTTTTGAGGGTGGATGGGCAGGAAGAGGATCTTCCTGTGAGTATAGAATGGTCAAGTATGTCTCTGCTGGCCCACTCTCCTTCCCCCCCAACCCCCATCCAGCTCCTGCACTTCACGGGAGGGATGGGGAGGGCCCTGATCCTCAGCCCCGAGGAGGTGGAGCGCTTTGGCAGCAGGCTCAACTCCTTCACCAGCATCCACTGCTGCGTCAAGGCACCCGTCGGCCACATCTGGTGAGGAGGGATGGCAGTGTGTGTGGGAGAGGGTGTGACATGTTCGAGACGAGGGACGCTGCGCCGCGCCCCTCCTGGGCTTACTGTGCGGCTTTCAGAGGGGTGCCGGCAGCTCCCCGGCTGGGAACCTGCCATCCGGGAGCTGGTGGCCCTGGCGAGGCTGCCCCGCAGCCCGCCACCTTGCGACCGTCCCGGAGAGCCGACATGACCCCATCAACCTGCCTGCCAGGTACGACCTGTTCTGGGATATCCCCGGCCACACCGACCGGCACCAGCGCACGCAGCAGGGGGAGTGGAAGCCACAGCTAGGGCCCTGAGCCCTGGTTGTACCATCTGGGCATGCACATACCATCTGTGCGACCACTGAGTGTTCCAGCTGGGGCGGCGATGGTGGCCCAAGGCCCGGCGGCTGGGGCAGGGCTGGTGTCGCATTGCAGAGGGGTACATACCCTGCTGAGGATGGTGCGGCCAGGTCCCCCCTCCTACCGGGCCCAGACCCCGTCGCCCGGCACCCAGGCGGGCGGGGGCGCTGCAGCCGCTGGCAGAGGCTCACGTCCCACCCACCCCTCGTGGCCGGCACAGGATGAGCGGGAAGCTGCCCAACGGCTTCAGGGAGCACTCCTTCCTCAGCAAGCCCGAGGCGGCGGAGCTCAACGCCTCACGCCTCCTCGTCACGATCTGCCAGGTGGGCGCCCTCCAGGCCCTCCATTGTCGGGTTTCTGGGGGCGCAAGGGCGCCGACGGCAGCGCCGTGCAGCTCAAGGCTCTTCTCACTGCGGCCGACCGGTCTCCCGACCCCGGTCGGAGATTGCCATGCACGGGCGCAGGCCGGGCGCCTGGTCTGCATGCATGCACGCCATGCTCATCGCGAGTCCCCACCCCCTCCCACGCAGGATGCGGAGGAGGGCTGCGCGGCAGGCGACGCGGCGGCAGAGGTCCAAGACGGAGGGGTCCGACTGCAGCCTGGACGGAGCCTGGAGCAGCTACGAGTCGCGCTGTCTGGTGCCCTTGAGAAGCACAAGGTGTGGTGTGGGGGCCTTGGCGGTGCTCTGCATGTGGGAGGCTCATGCTGTGCCCCTCTTTTGAGGGTGGATGGGCAGGAAGAGGATCTTCCTGTGAGTATAGAATGGTCAAGTATGTCTCTGCTGGCCCACTCTCCTTCCCCCCCAACCCCCATCCAGCTCCTGCACTTCACGGGAGGGATGGGGAGGGCCCTGATCCTCAGCCCCGAGGAGGTGGAGCGCTTTGGCAGCAGGCTCAACTCCTTCACCAGCATCCACTGCTGCGTCAAGGCACCCGTCGGCCACATCTGGTGAGGAGGGATGGCAGTGTGTGTGGGAGAGGGGGTGACATGTTCGTGACGAGGGACGCTGCGCCGCGCCCCTCCTGGGCTTACTGTGCGGCTTTCAGAGGGGTGCCGGCAGCTCCCCGGCTGGGAACCTGCCATCCGGGAGCTGGTGGCCCTGGCGAGGCTGCCCCGCAGCCCGCCACCTTGCGACCGTCCCGGAGAGCCGACATGACCCCATCAACCTGCCTGCCAGGTACGACCTGTTCTGGGATATCCCCGGCCACACCGACCGGCACCAGCGCACGCAGCAGGGGGAGTGGAAGCCACAGCTAGGGCCCTGAGACCTGGTTGTACCATCTGGGCATGCACATACCATCTGTGCGACCAAATCCACGCTTCTATCAGGGCTGACGTGTGTCACTCTGTATTCTTTATCCGCTGCTTCTCCTGAGCATGTGCAAGCCAGACTGCACCCCGTGGGACGGTGTCCCCCAGCAGTGTGTGGACCTGCTCCGTGGTTTTCCGACAGGGTTCATGAGAGACGATGAACAACGCTTCGTGGAACCAAGATGTCGGACTTCCTGCGGATTATACCACCACTGAAGCACCTAGGCACTCTGTGCCCCGACGACTGCGCGGAGATGGCTGGAGTGTCATGTGCGGCATGCCCAGCCGATCCGTGCCGCTCATTCAACCAGAGTCTGCAGAGGATGCTCAGGCATGCGGGTTCTCGATCGCGAGGTCGAAGCAACGAGCTCCACTACCCCATCGAGACTCGCTTGTGGACTCAAACACCCGTTCCCCCTCTCCTCCTTGATGGCTGATTCGGTCTCTCAGCAGCAAGGCGGACGATCAAGAGCAAGGATGGTTGAAGCGACGTGATCACAAATTGAGATTACGACGATGGCGATTCCTTCCGACCACTGGCTTCTTACGGATCCAATTCTCTGCATGTGATGGGTGAAGCTTCCATACCATTGAAATAGGGCGTCACTCGCGCCGCTCTGGAGGAGGCCATGGGCTCCCTCGCGTGAGGGCGTTCACGCTCTGCTTACCCCGATTGCATGCTCGTTGGGACCCTCGAGAAAGGCGAGCACTGGAGCGTGAGCTTATGATGAATTGATGGGAACGAACGTTGTACTGGCTATGACTCGATGGCCTCGTGGGAAGTCTTGGATGGGTCAATCCGGGACCCTGCTCCGCAGCCGGGTGCGTGCTCGCGCCTCCAGATGCACTTTCAGTGCAACCAAGCTCATGACGTCGGAGCATCTCAGACGGGTTTGAGACAATTTCTAACGGCATGCTAGAGCACAGAGACCAGCTGCAGTTGCATACGCCGAGACTGAGCCCCAGGGGCGGTCGACCGGTCACTGGCAGGGTTGCGTTGAGCCTCTGCGTCGCGGTCGGCGTACTCCTGGGCTTTCAACTCGTGCGCACGCACACAGAAGACTCCCATTCTGCGCCGCCTAGTCGTGGTCTGGTAGCCTCCACCTGTGTCTGCAATGTAAGAGCCTGGCGTCCGGATCAGGTTGTCCCCTCATACCGAGGTGAACCCGCCTTCACGGCACCCATCTCCGGATTCCACAGGATCGGCATGCGCTGGAACACCCTTCTAGAGTAAAGGATCAGCTTGATCCTGAGCTGGCGGCCATGCTCCGCAAGGTGGGTGTGGCAGAATGCTCGGTGCTTGGAGTAGTGCGGCGTCACTGGCGGGCCAGGGACTGTTCACG